TATGTTAGGTAGGTAGAGGGTGTCACACTCTATACTAATAATATGATTAAGGAAAAAGAAATTGTTCAATACTATACGAAAATTTGTGCAACCTAAAATATTTAGGGCATTAAATGAGTTTGTGCAACGTATCTGCCATTTTGTCTTGTAGGATCACAAATATGTACAAAGATTTGATCGAATTTGGGTACAAACAACGACTCATAGCCAAAAGCCCAAGCCCCATGAAAGTGTTGAATTATTATTGTCAAATCATTCTCATCGTTGGACCAAACAAAGCCTTTTCATAGAGAGATGGACGTGTCATAATATTATTGCCTTCAAAAACCATCAAGTTAAAAAGAATTAAAGTTTAAAAGTTAATTTACATTTTAAATGTATAAATATTTTTATTTAAATGGTAAAATATTTTTTAATTTATAAATATAAATATATTATTATAATTATTCACTCAAAATCAATTCCTATCCCCACAAAAGCCAAAATATTTTATTCATGTCAATTGTCCCAGACAAAAATGTATTGGGCAGTTAGTAATAGTATGATTGTATCATTCGATATTTGGATATATTATGTTTAAATTATTATTGTAATAAAACTGAAAAAACAAAACTCGATCATTGATAAATATTTTCTGATAATCATTATTTCTTTTAAAAAAAACATAATTCGGTGTAACTAGTTTTGTAACATGATAAAACTTACAATTACCTACCGAAACAGAGAACACATTATTTTCCCTGGAAATTGTTGGAATAAAAGAAATATAACTAAGCATAACAAAATTTCCAATGATGTTTAGGGATATTTTTATTTGAGCATCGAATATGTTGCGTGTGCTCGTAATCATAATGAAATACCGGATACCATGATTTTGGGTAATTTTTTACATAATTAATTTCAGGTTAAAAAATATTCCGAGTGTAGAATTAATTTTGAGTTAAAACATATAGTTGTTTCATTGACTAAAAATTTGGATGGGATAAATTGTAATTTTGTTCTTTTTATAATCTTTATTTAGCCGTTTTGGTCTTCAAATTTTTAAATATGTAATTTTAGTCTTTTAATTTTTAATTTTTTTTTTAATTTTAGTCTTTTTTTCAAATATTTATTAATTTATTGATTGTTAAAATTATAACATTAATTATAATATAATATTAATTAAATATTATTATATATTAAATATTATTAAATTGTAATGTTGGTCATAAAATAGAAATTAAAGCATAATTAAACCTAAATAATATTAAATATTAATTATCATCCATCTATTTAATGTCAAATTATATTCAATGTTATATACTCCATAAACTTGATCAATTTTATCATAACTAAAACTAACTTAACTCTCAAAGATTTCTTAACCTTTAAGAATTCTAAAACAATAATAGATACAATAATTTAACAATCAAACAACATATATCATCATTATTCAAAAAGTGTGAAATCATGCATTGTTACAATTTTAAATTCCCAATATTTTATGTGTTTTCTTCACTTATTGATTGAAATTTCCAACAATATCAAATATAAATAATTTCATGTATCACTATTTCATTATAAAAGTCCTCCACTAACCAAAACCATATTCTAAAAAATGTTACATATAGTGACATATAGTGATATGCAAAAAGTGTCACTATAGGTACAATATATGTAGATATATGTCTATTTGACATATAGTTACACATAATTTTAGTGTTAATTTTGAATGAAATTTAACAACATATTTTGTGTATCATTATAATCTATACCCATACTTTTTAATAATATATATATCAACATATATTGTAGTTATTGTATGGATAAAAGTAAATTTTAGTAACATATATAATGTCACTATAGGGTGTGTGTCACTATAAGACAATTTTGTTGTAGTGCAGGCTTCATAATAAAGTAGTAGCTCTATGGCAATGATGAAGAATCCTTTTAGACTTGAGGTTCTTTCATTTGTTACTGATTTCAACCAAAAAAAAATTATAGCTCAACAAACTAAAATTAAAATTCTAAACTCACTGTCTGTTCAACCAATATGTTTGATGTTGAGTCAACTCACTATCAATCACATTCAAGAAATGGAGAAAAATATGTGACATTCCAAATATATTAAAATCAACAATTAATCATATCAGAAGGGTGGTTAGTTCAAGTAGTACGTCCGTGTCTTATTCATTTTAAACAATGTTTTGGATTTGAGATGAAATGAAGGCTTGTTGGAAGAGCTACTCCTTCATTATGTATGAAAGTTTCTCACTCGAATTAACAAGATATCATATCCTATATATAGGATATGTCATATATGTGGTGCCAAACAAGGATCAACCATCATAGATGTTCACAAACCTGTGAAAGCGATGTAAATGAACATTGTTACAATGAAAAAGAGGGAATTAAATAAAATAAATTACTGTTTACTACCTTAAGATTTATTCGAATGACACAAATTAAACTCTAAACTTATTCATATATAACATTCCACCTTATTTGTATCAGTCAAGTAATAACAATTTTAAACACATATTAACATAATATGTTAATTAACCAAAATTAAAAGTTAACATTAATAAATGTCAAATATTTTACTTTCATTTTATTTGCTTTCTTTTACTATATGAAGTGAGGTTTTTTAAGAGTTTTTTTTTTTAATATTACTATATTTAACATCTCTGTTATTGGGTTTTTTTCCCCTAATATTAGAATGTTATAGATTTTGGTGCTCTTTTTTTTTTTCTTGTGTAAAGTATGCTAACAAAAATAAACCATAGATATATTTCTTTTTTATATATAAAAAAATTAATCTTGAGTCTAAAATATTCATAAAGTTAAATAATTTTACCATATTATGAATATTTTAAACTCAAACATAATTTATTTTATAAAATGTTAGAATTTTTATACAAAAAAAATGTAAAATAATATAATGAAACAAAATTTGAACCTCCTCTCTATCTGCATAAATAAAACTATTTATGTTGAATAATAATGTTTTTAAAGACAATTATTCAAGGAGAGCATGCATTTTTCTCTTAAAAAAACATATTTTTAGAATTTTCTTCTTCACTTCTTATCTATTTTAATATATTATTTTTTATTTCTAAATTGTATTTCAATTTTATAATAAATTATAAATAATTAAAATATTTTATATCAAAATACAAATTATTTATTATAAATTTAAAATATAATCTATATTTAAAATATTGGTTTGTTATAACTTTTAATTATAGCACAATTTAAATATTTAAAAGTATTTAGTTATTATATAAAATAAAAAAATATTATTACATTTTTTAAAATGCTATTAATATTTTATTGAAGAGAAATCAGATATATATATATATATATATATATATATTTTTTTTT